TGTAAATAAAATTACTGCAATCTACACAGGAAGACTTCATTCCTGTCTAGAGAATCATTGTGGTAAATGCCCAGGCAATGTCGGGATACTTCCATTACTTTTCAATAAATTACCAATGCATTAAAAGAGACCTCGTCAATTTTGCATCCGATTACTCTTCCCGAGCACACTGCAAGTGAAGTGAAGACTCACCTTCCTTGGCGCAGGTGTCGATGGAGTCATTGGCCACCTTGAGGGCGTCGGCGTTGTCCTTGTAGCGCTCCGCCACCTTCGCCCTCGCCGTCGCGGCGGAGAACTGGCCGTTCACGATCTGCGAGGACACCACAGTTGGTTCAATTGCGCTTTATTTCGAAAGTAAATGGGGCATATATAGTTATTCCCAGGGCCCAAGGGAGATAAGATCCTATTAAAGGTAGATTTGGCTAAAGCTACGCAAATGTCTCAAAAAAACATCGCCGTCGTTGTAAACGACGTCGTCCTTGCATTTAACTGTTAGTAAATATTTTATTTAATACAACCGCAGAAAACGTTGAAAAAGAGAAAGTGAGGTTTTGCGTCTACACCGCAGATACGGTTGTATATAATTTATGAATTATCTGTGTCGCTCCGAGGGGATGTCATGAAGCTTCAGCTCTCTCCCCTCCCCCCTCTTCCATCAAGAAGTTGACGCAAATTCATAATTATTTATTTTACAAATTTAAAAAACAAAATATATTCTCGAATTATTATTATTGTTAATATGTTAATATTGTTATTTTTGTTATTGTTATTATTATTATTATTTTGTTGAGGTTTGAGTTAAAATAATTTCTTCGGCGAATTTTTAATTGTTGCTTTAAAATTGAGAAAACATCAAGTTGACTGGACACGGCATCTTTAGCCGCTACCATAAGAAAAATGTAGTTCCGCCACGGCTCATTATTCATTGATCTAAGTAACGCAATACTACTACCTTTTACGATTGCTTCTGACAAATCGAAATAAGTTGTGACACAACGATTTCCCTCATCCAGGCGAAAAGAAACAGACCCGGGGAAAAAATATTCTACCCGTACATAAACCTCTGAATGTGTTGCAAAACGAGAAACTAAACTGATATAATATGAGATAATGAACGAACTGGGATTTTCCGCGTGAAAGGTGTTGCCTGTGGAGTGGTTTTCTCTCTGAAAGCAAACGCGTTAAGTTGCCCTTGCAGTGCGTTGCTCATGGAGAGTCCGTGTATGACTTCGACAACTGCACGCGACGAGCTCAAATTGTGGTAATCGCAGTCGGCGGCCGAACGTGTCGATACGTGTGCAAAAGATATTGTGCGTCGTGTGGAGCAGATAATGTGTCCTCGTTCTCTTGCACAAAACGAATTCATGAATACGTGATAAGTCTCGCGGAGTCATTAGAAGACAAGAATTATCTAGTTATTAGGTATCAGGGGCTCAACAAACGAGTTTTTCTTGGAAACAATACCCGTTTTTAGGTGCAATACTTTCTCAATACTAAGTAAATAGTTCAAGAGAAAATAAGAAGTAAACATGTCTTCGTTTCGTGTGAAAGTGATGTATGAACTGAATAAAATTTGAAAATATAATTACATTTAATGTTTGCTAGTGCAGATCCGTTTTTAAAAACGCATTGAAAAAGTTTGTGAGAACAAATGTTTAAGGGCATTTGAGATCAAACAATATTTTCTATTTGATCACAACCGTTCCAATTTTTCAATGAATCATGTAGATCGAGATATTCTAATATTCGAGACTAGTGATAATCAATTCGTATGAATTTCGGTGGTAAATTGCAAACATCACCTTACATTTGTCTCTAAATTACATAAATTCAGTAGTGGATACTTTGATAGAAGCGCAGCTTAACGAATATATAAAGCTCAACTCTCTTATTATTTCCCATAAATTAATTCTTGAAAATCAGTTCAGAAAAAATGAAAGAGGTATGTATCATACAGCTTTAGAGTGTTTTTCTTGTCGGCTCACTTATTTTCCAACAATCGTGGCAACTAGTGTCGAAATACCTGGTTATAGATTCACTTAAGCAATTCTTAAGTTCAATACGCTATTTAAACTCGAATATATGGCTGCCATTGGCTGAAATTGCTTGAGATTAACTGAATAAGAGTCAAAAAAGTCTCTGTGGAGACGAAATTAAGAGAGTTGCAATTGTTGTGTACACTATTACGTCTTTGGGCGGAAGATAATAGAAAGAATCTTTTTTTACAATTACCCCTAACTACATACCTACGTACTAGATAAAGTATTATAATGATGCGGTAGAAACCCGCGAATTTTCGACAAAAACAAAACGTATTGTGCGATTCTGGTCACGAAAAAGTGGATAAATTTAGTTTCTATATACACTAAATTTCTTCCTGTAACACATACAGTTAGAATCCACGTTTTGAGGGTTCTTGATACGGCAGACAGCAAAAGTCTCTCTGTCCGTCTGTGGTCAACGCTAACTCCTAAACCGTTCATATCATTTCATCCAAAATTGTTATTCCCCTATCGATCTGAACGAGGCCCTTCAAGTTTGAAACGAATGTTTGGATTTTTGAGAGGTACATTCCATAAAGCCCCAACATTTTCAAACATTTCTAAAAAAAAAAAACTAGCCCCATTTTTACGTGAAATTTTCTCTTTGGATAACGTAAAGAACGTTAAAAAATGACGCAGTTCTTATTGTCCTTGAATCTTCGAAATTTTTTTTTTAATGCAAAAGTTATAATGAGAGACATTGAGTGCAGCTGTAGCACCACTAGTTCACTACATCGTTAAATACAGACGAGCACGTACGAGCAAAACCGCAAGCGGTCGCTTCGCAATCCGATCCGATGACGTAGCAGGGTGAGTGTCTGGGGGCGCGCTCTCGCCGTCACGCGTGCGCACTTCGACTCGCACTTCCGGCGCGGCGCGCGTGCGCGCGTGCGCGTAGAGGAGCTTGCGTAATTCCTCGTGGGGCTGCGAAGCGCGGTAACGGCGCGTTCCCGAAAGTCGCCGTCCTCTTTGGACGAGGTGGGCGTGCCCGGCACCCAGCCACCGCACACGGCCCTGAATGCGGACGTAGACGAAGATGAAATGAAAATGACAGCGATCAGATGAGACGCGATTATCCAATGAGGATTGATTAGTTGTTTGGATGTTAGTAATTCCGGGCGCGTCAACGGTTAACGTAATTACTCCCGTAAGTGCAGTGCATGTTTTTTTCGTCGGGAGGTGTCGGTGATCTTCCCCCGCTGGATGGCGAGATCTGGCGCCAACCGATCGTCGGCTAGCGGTGATTTCCTCAACCAGGTATCTCCCACCAACGGGACACCGCCCCAGCCGGGACATGTTCCAAGTTCCTGACAGGTCTCCCGACATGTGTTGTAGTGTAATGCATCTTAGCGTGTGTATGTGTAAGGGCTCGTTTGTTAGGGTACTGCTCCGGTATTTGGCTTGTGTTGATTGGAGAAACAACAGAATACCACCTATTAAAACAGCTGACGTTTTTGAATGATCTACGCAGTTCGGAAGGGGCGCTTAAAAGGGGGATGTATCTTGCGTCAGGAAGGAACCCCTATTTTAAAACTTAAACATTTTTTTTTTACTTTTAATTCAAATCAACCACTGTAAGTTATTTCCGTTTCATGGACCGAGAGTTCTAATGGAGTATTGGAGGGGTAAATTTGTTTGAAATAAGGGCCCTCGTGTACCTACTGCCCCAGGCACCTTGTTTCCTCGAGGGCACCGACAATTCGCACGGGCCCAACTAGTATTCTTTCTTACAACAACCGAGCTCACGTCCCCAAAGGAATGGGCGATGAAAGCGACTGATACGCGAAGGAAGTGGCGGCCAAGGACATGGCGTCTGCGGCCGCCATTCGCAGGGCGAGGGCTGCAGCCCCTTGCGACCACTTACCAACCCGCCAGCGGTGAAGGCGCAGCCCAGGAAGCACTGCAACAGAGCGAGGCGTCAAAACCAGTGCACTTGCTATAATACACAAAATGCGCATTGCGTCTCGTGGTGAAACTTATTAGATTCCCACTTTCTTGAACAATTGTGTCAATTCACTAGAACTCTTTTCTATCTTCTATAGATCGTTTCTATACCGATTGCTTTTAAAGTTGAATTGTACTACCCCGCCAGCCCTCATAGTAGTAGAGTTCACGTTAGATCTTCCAAAAACATTTACTTTAATGTAAAAATGTATTAATTCACCTTCCTCCACAAAGGTGGATTCACTGGTTTTCACATTACAAATTTGCCTACACCTCTCTTACTCAAGGGTTTTCTCCGGAACTTAATGATTGAGTCATCGGGTAAAATTTAAATAGTGGATTGAGTTTGGTCATCTGCAAGATAGTACTAGTTATCCGCGTAATCTTCATTGATCAGCTCGAAGGTTTCATTACATCATACTTTTCAAAACAGGACTGTTGGATGCTGATAACAGTTCTAGTTAACTCCAAAATGAGGTCTAGTAGTAATTTTGGAGACAATGGAACGTAAATAGACTTCTTTGTTGTCAAACCATACTATAACGAAGCCATCAAGTACGTGCAAGACCTAATAATGTTTGACCAGATCGTGCGCTTTAAATACGGTTTTAAAGTCGATGTTGTAACTATTATTATTAAGCATTTGTTTGATTAATTAAAATTCTTAGAAATATAAAGATATGTAAGCCTTTAAATATTTTAAATCAATAAAATGCATGAAAACATTGTACGACCTTAATATTTAATTCTAGGAAGCTTCTTTTTATATTTCCAGTCATAAAAAATGTGTGAAATTTGAGACCTCAAAACTTTTCAACTCCATAAACTGTTCAAAAGATTAAGAGAAACAATTTGAAACACACTTAACAACCTGATGCAATTTCAAACGAATATTTTTTATTGTGCCACTCGTACCTACGATTGACTGAAATATATCCATATCAACCGACCACCTAACTCGATGATTCGAGCCTAGAATCAGCGAAGTTTTTGGCACGATCTGCACTCATTGTCGGTGAAGAACCACACTGAAACCGTCTGCCAGTGTCTAAATATATGAGGAGCCTTCACGCCTCCAATGACTCTTAACAGTCTGAACGAGTCGAAGTGAATCAAAACACCCTAGGGGTGCTTCGCGCCTCAACGACTCTTCAAATTCTGAACGAATCGAAATGGAATCAAAACACGTGGAAAATCCTTCACGTTCAATTATTCACCCTGAGGGTGTTTCGCGCCTTCACATTCTGAACGAGTGGAAGTGAATCAAAACACTGGAGATGCTTCACGACTCTTCACATTCTGAACGAATCGAGATCAATCGAAACACGCGGGGAGTGCTTCACGTTCAATTATTCCCCCTGGGGGTGTTTCGCGCCGTCACATTCTGAACGATTCGAAGTGAATCAAAACACCCGAGTGGTGCTGAACGCCTCAATGACCCTTCACACTCTGAAGTGAATCAAGTGACACGAAGTGAATCAAAACGCCGTGGGGATACTCGACGTCAGTGACTCTTCACTCTCTGAACGAGTCGAAGTGAATCAAAAACCCCTCCACAACCTGCAACCCCCCCCCCCCGTGGGGAAAGGAAGAGACCGCGATGTTTTCACTGGGCACCTCATCGCCTGCGACCGCGAGATCATCATTCGCTTCCTGGAAGATTTTTCCTGTCCCGAGCAGTCGGAGCGAAACGCACTTCAGGAAGAGAGCGCTGGGCATCGCACGGCTCGAGCATTACGCATTACGCATTACGCGTCGCCAAGGAGCACCAGGCGCCCGCACCAGGCGCCCGCACCAGCGTGAGCGGACGCCTCGTCCCTGGCAGACATGTGTTCGGTTACCTTCTCGTTCTGGTTGGTGGGGCCGTCGTGGAAGACTCGCCGGATGTCGCCTGCGAAACGAAAAGACGGGTGAGTAATCGTGTCTCACTCGCGTCGTGATTTGCCAAGTGGAGCGGGAGAGCGGGAGATGATGTGCAGATTAAATTGTCGCCTCGGAAGCAAACAATGGCGTAGGAAGTGCAAGTCAGCTGGCAAGATATCGGTGTGACTGGACGTGCAGAAAGCTTTCTCGATGATCTCAATTGGCAGAGGTGGGAAAAAGTGCGTCTTGTTACTTGGTGTTTGGGAAACCGCAACGGTGCTCAAATGCATTGAACGTGCATTGCCTAAAATGACCTTTTTTTATTAAAAATATAATTACTAAAAATCGATATTAATGATCGCAACCAATGAGTGTATTCATTTGTAACAGGCAAAATTCGAAGTTTCAGCATTTTAAAAGATTTTTAGACGTACAATTTGGATAATACCGAGAAATTGCAGAAATAGTGTTCAAAATGATTTTACAGAAAGTGGGCTTCTTTTTACTCCACAAAAAAAACCTTGTGCTTTGTTTTTCAATAAAATTCCACGATGTTTCTATTTTTAAAAAAACATTTCGCAGAAATATTGCAATATGGTTGCACGATTGCAACATTTAAAAAATTAAAATACAATTCATTCAGACCCGATGACCCGTCATTCATACCGACTTCTCACAGTTCTTTTTTTATAATTAACATAGATCAAACACTAGTGCGGAAGTACTTGTGATGCAAGTAATGGCGCCGCGAATCTTTTGTGGACGCAAATGTGCTGGAGCAGGTCCACAGGCGTCTGGCGCAGTTTCTGTGAACGCCTCGCAAGTGGAGAACAGTCGAGAAAGGGGCGTCTGCAAGTCACCCGCAACTGCGACCGTTTCGCTCTCGTGCACACAGAGCGCTCTACTGCGCAGATTTCGAGCGAGAGGTGTCTGTGCGTGACAAAAGCAGCATTTTTGACTCTTCAGTGGACTTTTGTGAGGGAAGGGAAAGGCCGCTATTCTATTTCAATTACTCAGGAAATGTTCTTTATGATGCTTTGAGCCCCCCTCTACCGTGAAGTAGCGAGCATTCTTAAAATCATTTTAATAGCTCAGATTAAACAAAAGAAATTCGAAACCAATCAACTCAAAGGAAAGTGAACTAGCAAATCTTTACACAGATCGTGAATAATTTGTACAACTCCCTGGACTATCGAAAATCTGGATTCGATTGTGACGACAAACATCGCAGGAAGTACATAATGATTTTCTTGTCAAAAGATGAATAGCATCTTGTTCGTTTGAGAGTGACGTCTTGAATTGCTTTTCTCCGCAGATATACACGTTGCGAAAATCTTGTGATTGTATATCTTCCCCCTTTCCCCTATCAATTCATGTGTCACTGTTTTTTCTATACATCGACGAGAAATTGATTTTCTGTATTGTGATTATTTTCTATGTATCAAATTCACAGACACGGAACTTTCGATGAACATGCATATAAAGGAATAAAGTACACAAAGTAAATTCATATTATTGAAAAATGTGTTGAGTGTTTGATATGGTAATTTCCAAATGGCATTTCCAGTACAACATTATTGCTATAACTTCGCATGTTGTTAAATTTTCTAAATTGTTTTTTTAAATGAAAAATAGTTTATGATATTTGTCCCATAAAAATAAAACTTGCTTACGAAGTGATGTTAACATTTGATGGTATTTTAAGATTCAGCTAAGTTTCAAGTAATGAGTATTTTCGTTGATGGGGAGAGGACGGCTAAGGAGACAATATTATATTCATTCAATATTTTTAATACTTAGACAGTTTCGTAAGATTTCATTTTTTATTTAATGGCATTCACAATGTTCTAGAATAATAATTTTTAAAACCATAGAGTAGAAATGAGAGGGAGGTCGTTTACTTAAGTATTTACTATACTGTTGGTGCGGAGCCATTAGCGACTAGACAAATGCAAGGTGCATCGGTCTTGTAAATACAGGTACTCACTCTCTTGGATGTTCCATTCCGAAGCACACTTCTTGTCGTTTTCTTTGTCGCCGGCGTGAACCTGCAAACAACACAATGCAAACTCGATGAGTACTTCGTAAACCGTTTGAAGTGATGTCGAACTAAAATACTACTAACAGTCACATATTGGCCTCTCAATTTTGAGTTGTGTTTATAAATCTATCGAAATTATTTTCAAAAAACATCCAAACATCCAGTATGGACAATCCAGTTGTGACATATATGCGAGCTAGATAGAATAGTGTCGAAAAAATCAATTGAGAATTCACCTATTTTTGTAATACACTTAATTTTTAGTCAGGAACGCTTGAAAATGCCGTCAAACACTTCAGGAAACTTTCGGCGACAATTATGAGAGTCAAAATGAAACGTGGAGACTTCTGAAGAGCACATATAAAATTTCTATGATCGGTAGAAAACAAATTTAATTCTGTACATACAATAAAGATGGAAAAACAACTGCCTGACCGATCACTATCTGTAACCTCAACTAAGTTAATTAAAATACAATTATTCTATTTCAATTATTCAGGAAATGTTCTTTAGAATATGTTGATCTTTCTACCATGAAGTAGCGGGTATTCTGAAAATCGTTTTAATCTGTTGTCAGACTGAATAAAAGCAATTCGAAATCAATCAACTGAAAGGAAACTGAACTAGCAAATCTTTACACATACAGCAGATCTTCAATAATTTATACAACACCCTGGACTATCAAAAATCTGGATTTGATTGTGTCGAAAAACATCAAATGAAGTGCATAATATGTTCTTCTTGTTCTGCCAAACTTTACCAATTAGATCCCATCAACGGTTAAAATGGCTGTTTTGTTCAATAAAATGTTTGAAAATCTTCATAAAAATATTCGTGAATTCTTTTGTAAAGTCGAAAGATATTTTACACGAGAGTAAGCTCTTGATAAAACCTGCTCACATGCAACTTCCTTCATCATTTACTGTTATGTAGGAAAAACGATGAACGTTTTTTTTTTTACAACTTTCTTTCCAAACACCACAATTTTTGGGCCAGGGGAAAAGAATTGGAATTTACCTTTTATAAATTTATATATATATATATATATATATATATATATATATATATATATATATATATATAAGCTTTGAAAATATTCATTTTCGAAAA